GGTGGGGGGCACTCTGACCTGGTGCCCCCTGGGGCTCTGCACTGCAGAGAGGCTCCCGTGGCCCCCGGGGCACTGACCCTGTCCCGCGCTGTCTCTGCAGCAGGCCGAGAGCCAGATCAACAAGCAGACCAAAGGGGAGGTGCTGCGCAAGCCCGAGAGACCCTCGCTGCACCTGCGGATCCCGCCCCAGCAGGGGGCGCTGCCGGGCGCTGCGGGGCAGCCTGTCTACATGAGCAGCCCGCTGGCCCTGCCCGGCTCTGCCGACGGGTTCCTGAAGCCCCCGGCGGGCGCCGAAGCCGGGGCTGAGTCCGGCGAGCTCTTCCTCAAGCTTCCTGCCCAGCCCCCCGCCCAAGTGCCTTCGCACGACCCCTACAGCATGGCCCCCGCCTACCCGCTGGAGACGCGCTTCCCTTCGCCCCTGGGCCAGAGCCCCACGGCTGCAGCTGCCTTCCAGCCCTTTCCCAGCCAGCAGCAGCAGCTGCTGCCCGCCTCCCGGCCCGCCCTGGGCCCCCAGCCCCCAGAGTTCCACCCCACCTCCCCCGGGACCCCCCGGCACCAGCCCTCCACCCCAGACCCCTTCCTAAAACCTCGCTGCCTCAGTGGCTCTCTGGACAACCTGTCGGTGCCGGGCAGCCCGGGGGCCAGGCCCCCCGAGCCGCTGCTCTCGCCCCCTCCCTTTGGGGAGCAGAAGAGGAGCCTGGAGGCCGGGGGGCTGCAGGTGAAGAAGGAGGAAGGGGGCCTGGGAATGTGTTCTCCGAGCTACGTGGCCGCCATGGGCTACGCTGACTCCCCCTCCCAGCTCTCCGCCGCCGAGCTGAAGGCAGCCAACGTGTTCAAAGCCCCCCTCACCCCTCGGGGCTCTCAGCTAGAGCCTCAGAGCCCAGGGCTGGCGCACCCCCACCCCCAGTCCCTGGCCCCCTCGCCCCCCAGCCACTCCGACCTCTACAGGCAGTCGCCCGCCGTGTCCTGCTACTCGGACCCCTATTCCCAGCCCCCCCTGGCGCCCCGGCCACAGCCTCCCGACAGCTGCTGCCCTCTCCCCCCCAGGTCCCTGCCCTCCGACCCCTTCACTCGCGTCCCCGCCAGCCCACAGTCCCAGTCCAGCTCCCAGTCCCCTCTCACCCCCCGGCCACTCTCCAACGAGGCTTGCTGCCAGTCGCCTGTCACCCCTCGCTTCCAGTCGCCTGACCCCTACTCCAGACCCCCCTCGCGCCCCCAGTCCCGGGACCCCTTTGCCCCTCTGCACAAGCCGCCCCGGCCCCAAATGCCCGACTCCGGCTTCAAATCGATTCCGGTCCCCCACAATCCCCCAGCGGGAGGGGGCTTCCCCCCAGCCCAGCCTAGCGACCCTCATTCCAAGGGTCTGGGGAGCCAGCAGCCCCCCTTCGCTCGCTCCCCCGGAGCCAGCGTCTTCCCTGGCGCCCAGGCCCAAATGCGCTTCACCTTCCCCCCAGCTGTCTCGGAGCCCCTGAAGGGTTCCCCCTCCCACCAGCCCCATGGGATGAACAGCCATTTCGCCTCCAGCCAGCCCATGGGCAAGCCCCAAAGCGCCAGCTACGCCTCCTCACCCGGCTTCCACCAGGCCGGCAGCCCCCTGGGGCCTGGCAGCTGCCCTGCTGAGACCTACAGCCTCTCCCCCCTGCGGCCCCCCTCCGTGCTGCCGCAGCAACCCCCTCACCCCCAGCAGCAGCAGCAGCAGGACGGCTCCCTGGCCTACTTGCCCCGAGCTGGGATGGCGCCGCCAGCTGACAAGCGGGACGAGGTGGTGTCGGGGGTCTCTGCTGTCCCCAGCCGGGAGCTGCCCGAGCTGCCCATCAGCCAGGAGAGCACCCTCAGCAACATCAGCCAGTCGGAGCTGGAGAAGCAGAGGCAGGTGAGGACTCGGCTCTCTCCTGAGCCCCCGGGGGTGGCTTGGCGCGGGGCAAGAGCATAGACGGGCACATGGTGAATCGGAGGTGGGACTCCTGGCTCCCAGCCCCCCCACTCTAACCGCTGCACTCCACTGCCCTCCTGGAGCCAGGCACAGGGGGCGGAGGTGGGGGCCGATCCGAGGGACTCGGTAATGACTCCTAGAGGATACGAAGTAGCGCGGGAGCCAGGGACGTGGCTCTTTGCCCTCTAATCCCCTTGCATGGCCAGAGTTCCGTGGCAAGTTCCCTCTCCCGCTCTGTGCCTCAGTTTCCCCTCCCGATCTAGGCACACGTTCTCCAGGGAATGCTCTGTCCCCTCCCCTGTCCCTGGTGCTGTCCAGGGGCAGTCAGGACCCTGCTGTAATGGTGCATCCCTTATCTCCCAGCGCCAGAGACTCCGCGAGCTCCTCATCCGCCAGCAAATCCAGAGGAACAACCTGCGGCAGGAGAAAGAGAGCGCAGCCGCCGCCACGGGCTCCTCCCAGGCTCCATGGAGCGCCGAAGCCAGCAGCCAGGCCTTCGAGCAGCTCAGGGGCCTGGCATCCTACCAGCCTGCACAGGTAGGGCAGAGGGGCACCAGGAGAGCCACACCTGAGCCATGTGGACCACATGGTGCTGGCCCCAGGGCTGCTGGCCTGATGGGTGGAGCCAACCCATGTGGCTGTGGCCGTCCACACTGGCCATCCCAGCCCTTCGCCAAGCCCCACATTCCCGCCAGGCCCCTCTGGGAATGGGATAGATGGCAGGGGCAGCCCATAGCCTGTGATGGGGATTCGTGAGCTGCCAGCCTCCAACCTCGACCCCACTCCCCTGCGCAATCTGATGTGACTTCCAAAGGGGAATCACTCTGGGGCTCCCCTCCACAAAAAGTGGAGAGCCACTGACTGCCCTGTATAGAGTAACGTGTGCTGTGACTCATGCCCTGTCACTTGGGGAACTCCCTGCAGCAGGATCTGTCTGGGCAAAGCACCTGGGGAGAATGGGATGGGGCTTATCCTCAACCAGGGCAGCAGGGGGGATGCAGAGGAGCTCAGCCCAGGCTAGAGTCAGGAGGGCATTTGGGATCCACTACTGCTGGAGTGGGGAGGGTCTGTAGGAGTCGAGATGCAAGCGGACTCACTCTCTTCGGGAACCTGCCTGCAACCCCCAGCAGTGGCAAACTCCCCGGCCCAGTCATGGTGCCCGCAGCATTCGCACCGGAGGAGCGGCTTTCCCGCCCGCCTCCCGCTGCCACACACTCCACCATGGATCTCAACGGCAGGGGCGCGAGGCCCCCCCGGCGGCGG